CAGGCTAACAGAAGCATGGAATTCCTGTGAAAATAATTGCTGTCTGGGGAGGGGAGAAGCTGAGGGGGTTGGATTGTTGTTAGGGTGCTGAAAGGTGGTACGTGGCCGTGAGTCCCTCTGCAGCCTGCTCTTGGCAAATCCATCAAAGGCTCGCGTGTGCTGAGACAACACCGGAGCTGCAACTGTGCTGGGCTGTATTGCGCTGAAGGACTACGGGAGGATTCTGTCAGCATTTCCTGTAGGCAGGAAGGCACTTCCAAAGCACTGAAGGAATCACTGCTATTGTCAATTCAGAGGCAACAGACTGACTTTAGAGAAGGGGCATTCTGAACCATTCTTCAGGAAACACAAGCTGAGGAGAAGTGGATGATGGAGTGGTTCAGGGACTGCAGCAGTTGGAGCCCTAAAGCAGGTAAGAAAGGAACAGGTGGCTTCTCCTGTTGTTACCTGTTTCTGTGTTTGTCCTTCATCTCCAAGCTTCTGACATTCATGGGCTGCCACCATCTGTACCTCACTGTTTGTGTTTGCATTGTACTTTTCTTCCAGTGCTGCCCTCACCCTGCTCATGTGTTCTCCCCTCCTGCTTGGTGTCTGGATTAGGTGCTGGGAGATAGAGGATTCCCTTCTGTAATTCCCTTTAGTTCATCAGTGCTTGTATATTGTCAAGCCCACTGGGGCTCAGGTTCTGTTTAGAAGCACCCAGACCTTAGCAATATCTCAGTGATTATAGTTAGGGTGTAGGCTATGGGGTCACTGTCGATCCTCCAAATTGCTGAAAATTATTACTGAAAGAGCAGACAGATTTCAGTTGAGGACTTACAAACAAACAAACCAAATATTCTCTCTCAAAGGGAACATGAAAGGAGGGAGAGTTGGCTGCCAGATGTGGTGTTTTCCTGACAGTATCACAGTCTGTTTCCATATACAAGCACCGACTGTAATTGGCTGTCATTTGCTACCTGGTGTTATTCTCTCCCTCTGCATGCAGGCTCCTGTACTTAGTTCAAGGAGAGGCTTCTCAGGCTCCATCAGAGGAAAGCTACAAAGTGGATAAGAGAGGAACAGCAACAGCATTTGGGTCCAGAGAATGTCTGCAGGAAAGAAGTAAAAATATTTCTTCATAAGCATAGTTATTAATGTTCTGGGTTGTATTAATGAACGCTTGAAAGCAATTCATTTAATCTGCTTTAAAAAATGCCTGCTGAATCATCATTGAAAAGAAGTGATCAATATGATTAATTCCCTGAACTTCACACTGCATCTTTAATGCCACTGCTTGGAATGTAGAGCTATGCTCATCAGCCCTTTGTATCAGATAGATTTATGCCCATACTGGTGTATAATAATTTCACTTAACATAAAACTATAATTTGCAGCCACTGAATGCAGCTCTGTTCATTCTGTTGTCCATCTGAATTTTGCTGTTGCCAGAGAAAGATTGTACTTAAAGTTTGAAACTCCCTTCCTTTTGCTTTTCCAGTCTGGCACCCTGTGATGGAGCTCTGCTTGGGACAGGAACCAGGGGTTTATGATGTAGTGATGGTCCTTCACTGTTGAAGGGAGAACAATGGAGAAAACTGGAAGAGCATATCTAAAATTATTCCAAATTTCAGGCAGGCCGGCAGTCTTAGTGTCTACACTTTTCATTTATTCTTGCTTTAATGCTAATACAAGAGTAAATTCCAGCATAGCCGAGATGATGGGGAGTGCTCTTATTCACCTCTGGGGTTTTAATCTTACAGTGCATTTTAAAACTGAATAAGGTTCAGCAACTCAGCATTAAATGAGCCATTCAGAATTATTAGCTGTTTTTCATGCTGCATATTTTCAAGCAGGTCATACTGCTCCTAAGCCTGGGTATCAGGTTACTAGCTTTCAGGTGAGCCTGGAACTATTCTGATCTGGTAAATTAAAAAAAAAAAAAAAAAAAGTTTGTTCTTTAGCATGAATATCTTGGTCCTTTCAAGAGATAAGTATAAAATTCTGGGTAATAACTGCTTCCCCAATAGGAGAAACCAGACAGTATTACACACCTTGTCACAAGTCTGAAATTGGTTTTCATACTACAGTTTTCCCAACGACTGTATATAAGTTAAAAATCACCCAAAACTGAATGAATGTCTTAGTTTTTCTTCCAGTGCTTTTCTTGGTAGCTATGTCTCAGTAGAGACATCATTGATACGACATTTAAGAAAATGTGTCATGAATGCGAAGGTGTTCAACAATGACAAAGCCATTCCTACATAAAAGAGGAGAAAGGATAATAAAATTAAGTATCTACTAATCCCTCACAGGATGCTCAGAAACAGCACAAGGAAAGTGCAGTTGTGTCCTTCCGTGAGACGAGGAAGGTTTGAGTCATGGCTGAGTGCAGCACTCTGAAGTCTCGGAGCTGTTTGCAACTTCAAAATAAATAGTAATTGTTGGTGTGTGACATCATGCCTCCAAGGTACAGCGGTGCCAGGGGTGTTCGTTAAATGAGAGTGGGATGGATTGCATTTCATCCTGACGTGGTGTTCGGACGCAGGAAACAAGCTTTTAAATTACTGCCGTATCCCTGTGCAGCAGGTACTGCTGGTTCAGAACAAAGGGGACGTCCAGGTGCTTCACATATTTCTTTGTTCTGCTGAAACAATGGCTCTGCAGGCAAAGGGTTTCTGAATGCTTTCTCTTGCTGCCTGCTTTGAACATTACTAGGGCAGTGTTCTGTGTTTTCATTTTCTTTCCTTATTTAACATCTTTAAGAATCTCCTCCCACACTTCCCAAACAAACCCCAGCAAATTTAGCTTTGCTAACCATGCCTGGTTATGTATTAGAATCCTCTGTAACGAGGAAGGCAACTGAATTTAAAAGGCTTTTAAAGGATTCAGAGCTACTAAGCAAGATGGCCTTGAGGCTTCTAAATGCCCTTCAGCTCCCGGAACTTCAAGCCAGCCTCTGGTCTAACAGTGTTTCTCGGGTCAGGGAAAGGATTCTCATCTTCCTGTATTCTACTTTTTCCCTTTCAGAACAATAAGGTCTCCTTTTTTCTGACTGAAGTTAAAGTGAGCCTGGAAAAACACCCCATAATGGCTGGAAGCCTTATGCTGACATCCACAGCGAGGAGAAAGCAAGCATAGTTATGTGACGCAGGCTGTGAGCAGCGCGTTGCTGCTGCCTGCGGGGTATACATGTATGCAAGGTGTTCTATATTGTTCTCCCACATGCAAACTGAAGTTCAGGAGTGTTTGCATGTACCTCTGCCTGCGAGGTTGTAGTAGCAAATGCAAGTGGCCATGGACACTTGTTCAAGTCTGAATCAACTCCTTTCTTGGGTTGCTTGCTCCCCCCCTCGAGTGGCAAGAGTCATTACTGGAGCTAAAACTCATCTTAGTTCAGATTGTGGTAATTAACAGAAGTTACCTCATCCTTTAATCACATACACATCCCCTGAGGTTGAACAGCACACCAATGTTCAATCTTAGAAAGAAGTGAAGAGGGTGACTGCCTGCGTTTGGAATGAAAGGAGGAAGTTAGCCACTGTGCAATCATTCAAATGAGAAGTTGGTCCTGTGTATTTAATATTGCAAAGTAGTCTCTGATATCAGTCCTTCCTTAGCTCTCATTCCATTAGCTCAGAGCTCGCCCTGAGGGTGCTGAGTGCCAAGTTCAGTGTGCAGCACAGCTTGTAACCAAGCAGAACAATGTTATCCTGGTGATCCTGCAGATCTTCAGAGGAGGCTGTGTGTGTGTGTCAGGTCTTCAGCTGGAAGATGAAATGGAATATGTGGAATATGCTTGACAAGCTTCTCTTGGTGTCTGTAGTATGAAACATGCAAGGAGTATTGCTTTTCCACCAGGAACTGTCCTTTAATGCCTACTTTTTTTTTTTTTTTTTTCTTTTTTCTACTAATATTTTTTCTTCAGGTTTTTTTTTCTTTATAGGAAAATTCCTTTTTCCTGGCCTAGACCTGGCAGCTGCCAGGCTGCTGTGAGGGCATGGGCTTGAACTGTACCAATTTTTCAAAAAAATAAGAGGAAATTGAAGAGCAGATGATTTCATAGTAGTTAGCCACTGATGCTTTATAGAGCTGCAGGTCAGAGCTCCTGGGAAGGCAGAAACACATCCCTCACTCTTTCCTCTGAATTTCAGTGAGGCTCACATTGAACACAGTGCTAGTACCATGCACAAAGAGTCCTGTCTCCAGCGCTGGGTGGTGCCAACCATTTCAGACACTGCTTCCCATAAGTAAGGCTGCAATGATACAGCATCAGAGTAAGTGCTAGGAGACAGGCAAAGTGCCCAGCCAACACGTAGAGCCGGGGCCTAGACAGGGAACGGCATGCGTCACATCAGACACAGCTTTTGGGGGGGGTCGTGGAGAGAGAATCCAGTGAATAGACAGTTTTCAGGACATCATCAAAGCAGAGTGAAACTCTTCTTATCATGTAACCAAGCCCCAGAGCTGATTGAGCAGCCCCTAAAATCCATGCTGGCAGGCTTTGTGCAAATATGCTGTCCTGCCTTAACAAACTGCTGAAAGCCAAGGGCAGAAAGATAAGTTTTTTCCTCTCTATCAAGCTAGGAACCAAAGAAAAAAAAACAAAAAAAAAAAAAAAAAAAAAAAAAAAACCAAAAAAACAAAAAAACCAACAACAACAAAAAAAATTTTCTTTTAAAATAAGCTGTTTTAAATAAACGAGCATTTTTTGAACCGCAGGAGAGCACACACCTAACATTTGTTAAGTGAATAGCAGCAACACGTTTAAGTCTGGCTCAGTACTGCAAAGCGGTTTTTATGCTGCTTTTGCTGTAACGTTTCTAGAACACGAGCTGCAAAGGGCGGCTTCCTTTCATTTCCAGTCAGCATCACAGAGAAAACTTCATCGTACGCTAACATCTACAGCACCCCGCCAGCCGAACCTCAACGCCCCGCCCGCCATCACGCATGCGCCCCGGGTCGGCGATGACGCCACGTTTATTCGGTGCCTGAAGGCACCGCCCTCGCCGTGCCCGGAAGCGCCGTGCAGCCCTCAGGAAATGGCGGCGCTGCGGAGCGGGCGCGTGACGCTGTGTGTCATGGCGGCGCGGCCCGTGAGCGGCGCTTCTTGCTGCTGGAAATGTAAGTGAAAGCTGCGCAGGGGGGGTTGAGCACGGGGGAGCGGGGTAGGGAGCCTCCTCCCAAGCCCTGTGGCCAGGCCCCGGCGAGAGAACAGCCAGCCCCCGGGTGCCGCAGCGCTTCTCCCGGTGTTGTACCGGAGGACTAAGAAAGTGGAGACGGTGCCCTCGTGCCGACCCCGCTGATACTATCCTCCAAAATGAAACGGTGGGAGAACAAGGCCTGCCCGCGAGGTAAGGGCAGGGCCTGCTTCCTCCACCTACAAGGCTCTGGCGGTAAGCAGAGGGAACGAGCTGGCGGGGTGGGGAGGGGTCGGAACAAAACTTCCAGAGCCGCCGCGGCCGCTCCTGTGATGCCGCTTCAGCCGTGTGCGTTTGCCCCTTTGTTCCCGGCTCCAGGACGGACCGAGAAAGGACGGGACGCGGTACCCAGCTGGGCGGCTCCGAGGTCGGCTCCGCTCGGCTGGGGCGAACCTGCGGGCAGCCGTGCCCCGTAGGCGTGATGCCCTCCAGTGGCAGCCGTGTGTGCTGGCGTGCTGAACCGAGGGGAGTGGGAAGAGTGCTCCGAAGTGCTTCGTGTCTCCGGATGCAAAGGTACCCCGGATTTTAAGATGTTCCTCTTCACAGGAGAGGAAACGCTGTTGTTTTCAGCGTGAGGCTGAGACTCCTGACTGGATTTAAGTCCTTCTTGTGCTACAGTGCCTGGATTACCTTGTCTGTCCTGCTTGTGTGTTACTGCAGGATGTGAGAGAACAAGGGGCCTTGAAAGAATCCCAGCAGTGCCTAAAAGCAGTCCAGACAACAAATCAAATCAGTAGCAGAACTGCGCTATTGACTTAGCCCTCTGGCTGAGACAGAAGTAACAGCTCTGAGGGAGAACGACTCCAGCCAGCTCTGTGCTTTCAGGAGATGCTGGCAGCTTGCAGCAGAGTTTCAGATCCTGCTTCTTTCTCCTCTCTTCAGACAGCACTGTGGTTTTAATGGATGTTTTTTCTGTTTTGTTCTCTGTTCTGTACAGAGACACACCACAAGCCAAATATGATTCTTGCTAGGTACATAAGGCTAGTTCAGCATTGCCTTCTGGCCTTTTTGTCCATGATAAAAGGGATTGAGTATAACTTGTAAACCTGGGAGTCTGTAGATGGCCCTGGCAAGGTCCCAGTTAGCTGCTGGGTGAGGTGTGGTTGGTATTCTGTCCTTTGGCTGTTCCTGCTGCTCTTGCGGCCTCTGCAGGGATGAATTAGATCACTGCTACAGGTTGGGGCAGCCTGTGGTATTTGAGCAGCCAGTGCCAGAGCTTTAGGCATGAGCCTCCATGTTTCACTGAAGATGAATTTTTTCTCTGCCAGCAAATACATGTAATCAAAGGAACAGAAAGAAAAACGCCAACAGCTACAGGAAAAAACATGTCCTACAGCACATGACTAATTGTCAGAGAGCGACTCGTTCTTAATGGGCGTTTGTTGTTTCATGTGGTCTAGTTCAGCAGTGAGCCAGAGTTTCAGAAGATAAGCTCTCTAGGGCAGTGGTCACGGCTGTAGTTCATTAAGCTAGCTGCTGGAGTTCAAGAAGTGTTTGGACATTGCTTTCAAGTGTGGGGCTTGAATTCTGAATGGTCCTGCATGGAGCCAGGAGTTGGACTCGATGATCCTTGTGGGCCTCTTCCAACTCAGGATATTCTGTGATTCTGTAATTGCAGCTTGGGTGCCTTACTGATCTGATCAGTAGACCCTGTAATGGAAATGGTGGCCTCTTTGTAAAGGATGTATATAATGGTAATTTACAGTTACAGCTGGTTTTAAAGAATTGTTCAGTCCTTTTTCTTTGCTGTGTAAATATTTAAGTGACAAGGTTGAGGTTCCTAGGAGAGTAAATGCTTGGGTTGCAGCTGACAGGTGAAGCTTTTATTAAACAAACATGCAAGCTTTTTTTTTTTTTTTTTTTTTTTAGCTTGGCACCTGATGATTGCTTATTTGTTCTTTTTTCAGATATTTCTGTTGCTGCCTTAGCAGTCTCATATGCCATCCCTGGTGATGACCACTGAGTCCTGCTCTGAAAAGCTGGCTGCTCCTGTGATCTGCAGATTCATTGAGCCAGCAACATAGTGGCAGAGCTGTTTGTTACCCTTAGAGACTCAGTTGCACAGTGTGCAAGTACCTCATAGCTGGCTCAGCAAATCAGTCCTTGCAGCGCACCTGTGAGGTGGTTGTCTGGGTTACTGTAACATCAGAGATGAGCAGCTCATTCTGGAGCCAGAATACAGGTACAGTTTAAACACCTGAGATGAAAGCTGTGGGTGGAGAGTGATGCTGTGGGGCCATTCAGAGGGTCAACACAATGTAGGCTTTCATCAGAATGGCTTCATTGACTTGGCAGTCTTTGTGTACTAAAGGTGTCCTTGAGGACTGTCAGTCCTGCTGTTCTCCTGATGCCTCTGCTCTGATACTTGTGTGTTTTTGTTTTATTTTTGCAGGTCTTTCTCTCATTGTAAAGAGCGTGGCGTTCAGTTTTGGCAGATAAAGGTTAAATATGCTCCACTGTTTGGAAGCTGGACCTTAAATCAAGGCATACGTTTTTAATTGAAGGGAAAAAAAGGTGTTAAAACAACCCAGTGGTGTGGTGCTTTCTGACCACTTTGTTCACTGTACACTTTAGCTGCTATTCTCTGGTACAGCCTTTCAGTATGTTAGCATTGCTCACCTGGCCACCTTGTGCCCTATGTGATTGCAGCCTACAGTGATTGCAGGCTTAGTCACCTGTTTGTAGGAGACACAAGTTGTGCTCATTGCAAGGCATTGAAATTGACCTTCCTCATAGGAGGTTGGACAAGATAGTCATAACAGCACTTTTCTGTCTTGGAAGTCTGTGAATTCTTGGTGGGCTACAAATGAAGCTATATTTGCATAGTTCAGTGCTGCTAAACTCGTTTAGTTTTCCAAGCTGCAAGTCAGTATTCAAGTGAAGAAGGTACTAATCACTGCTGTAAGAGCATATTCCACTCCTGTTTTCATGGTTTCTTCAAAACTTATTTTGGGGAAATGCATTTCTTCTCTTAATTTCTCAGCTATTTGGAGAAAAACAGACAAGCTTTTGGCACACAGTTCTACATCAAATCTAAATTTTGCCAAGCTTTATTTATAAGAACCATGTCTACTGTAGAGACAATCTGTTCCTGACAAACCCCTAGAATAGAAAATTTCAACCAATTATTTTTGTAATGAATGTACAATAAATCTGTTGAAAAGCTATCTGTTAATGACTCTTGCTTAAATACTGGTCATTTTGACACCCACAAGTGAGGCTGTTGAGAGCTAGACAAACCCGCTTGACAGGTAGTACCAGTCCAACTGTCTGGAATCTGGAAATAAGGTCTAAACAAGGATGTTCTGGTGGAGCACTGGGCCAGCACTGCTACTGTCAGCATACAATGGTGGCCTGAAGCTTCAGGGGCACAGCATCAGAGATTAAAAGCTCTTGGTGCTGAGGAGTGGGGGAAGAATTTGTGAGTGGAGAACATAGCAAGGCAGAGGTGAGGATGGCCACCAAAAAAGTAAGAAAGGATGATTCAGACTTTTGTGTATGGGCAGCTAAGCACTGCAAAAGGCACCCATGTGATTTTGGTTTTTTGCTTTTTCCCTAGATAAATAAATGAGAAGTATGGGCATTGGGCAAGGATGTTTTTTTGTTTGTTTTCATGTTTGAAACTTTATGGCATGCTTGATTATCTCAGTAAGCATCATTGTTTCAATCTTCCTGCTGTTTATGGTATGTGCTAACAGTTCACACGCAGGGGAGGTGTAGTTGATTATCTTGTGCAGACTGTGTACCAACAAGAGTACTTGATTGTAAGATCAGCTTCATGGCTAGAGTGTTTTCAGTTTTGTCTAGCATCTGTATAGTGATTGTGCCTTTTGCTGTTTTGGCTTTTTGTTGAATTTTTTGCTTTTCAGAAGACACGAGTGTAGTTAATGATTGCTGTGGAACAGAGAGTTCCCTAAATATAAAATGGGTATTGGGAGAACCAGTAATGCATCTGTCACTGCTGCTTGGTGTCACTTGTGGGAAGGATGGTATCTGCTTCTAACCCTGAAGAATTCTGCAAATAGCTCCAGGGTGCTGATGAGTCTTGCGACCGTAATGTTTTTCTTCTAAAATGCTGCCTAAGATAAGATAAAATTGTCCAAGGGCCTAGGCCTGGCAGATTGTTTGGGTCAGGGATGCTTTGCTGTCTTGGGATAGAGCTGGATTTTAGGGAGTGTGATGGGACAATGCTGAAAGAGAGAATTTCTCAGCGTGTGTTACGTGTGGATAGGACTGTTGAAGAACACAGTCTTATAGGAGGGCAGTCCATGGAGGTACTGTAATACCAGTATGTACCTTTAGGGTACCAGGTGTTTCCAAAGCAAAGCAGGGATGGACATAATGCTGAAAGTGTGAGTTGAATGTGTAAAGGTGCTGGGCAATATCAGCATTGTAAAATGACAGTCTGTAGCTTTCATAGTCCAGCAGGATACCAATCTTTGTGGGGGGAACAGTAATTCTGATGTCTGGTGTCATCCCACTGTGCAGGAATTCATACTTGTGCCTGTGGGCAAGAAACACAGTCAAAAATACCTCATGCACTCTGTGCACAGGCATGTTTCAGGGTCTGTTTTCTTGTTTTGCATGCATGGTGAAGACAGTCCTATCCTTTCCACGTATCTCATCTTTATGCCCCATTCCCATCCACTCTGCTGAGAACGCTGTTCACTGCTTTTCCACACAGCCTTATCCCCTTGCTCAGATGTGCCTGCCTCACCCACATAACAGGCCTTCGTATCCACACCTGGCTGAAAATGAGCAGGTACTGTCACTTAGGACAGGACAAGGTCAAAGGGACTTTCCATTTTTCCCAGCTACTGAGCTTTATCTGAAGATGTCCTTTCCTCTGCGAAGAAGCTGTGCTCTGCCAGGCCAGTTAGGCCTTCCCCAAAGCAATGCTTGTCTTCTCTTAAGTCTTGCAGCTTCATAGTTTTAGGTGCAGCCAAGGAGAGAATTGATGAGATGACTCAGTGCTGTCCTTCCAGGCCCTGAAGTGCCGCCCACTTACTCTCTAGGGCCTGTGGTACTGAGCCCTCTTTCCTGCCAAAGACACAGGAACTGGAAACGCTTACGCCCTCAGACTGCAGCAGCAGTGAGGGAATATAATCCCTCAGGCAGAGGCTGGCTGACTCAGTGTGACTCTGCATCCTCCAGGCTATTTGATGTCGTATTTCAAACCCTGTTCTCTAAATGACATTTCTGGCTGCTTTTCCTACAATACTTCACGTTGCTCAGCCAGGGTGGTGTTGATAGGGACTTTCCAGTCTTCAGTTACTGGAAGGTGACCTCTAATCATGATTCCTGTCCTTTGTACTAATGGAGGCTAGGAGGATGCTCTGTACATAACTGCTTTGTCATGAGGGTAGCCCTTTTCTTCCCCATGTAGTCACTGAGTAATGCCAGGATCCTTTAACAGTTACTCAATCAGCTGTCCCTAGTGTTGTACGCTGCACCCAAAAATATGAGTCTTTTATGGGAACATGTACTGTTCTGGGAGAAACGAGAAGATTTATTCAGTAAAGCAAGTTTTCTGGTATTTCACAGGGACCGGCTGCTTCACTAACCACCTCTTCCACCCACACAGCACAAACCTTAGAAAATTTCCCTGCAGAAATGCGTATGACAGTGACTCAAACAGAACAACAGCCTGGCCCTGTTTTCTCCTCCCTGAAGTCCATGCTTATTGCTCCACAAGAGTAAGAGCAAACCTCAATGTACCTCTTAGATCATTGTAGCAAAGAAATTAAATTAGCCTTCCTGCAGTGTATGGGAGAGTCATTAACTTCAGTGGGTTTGGTCTCCCTCATTAAGCAGCGTTTCTTGCTGTGTGGGAGGCAAATGTCAGCATTGCTAAGAACTTTGGTTATGCAGCAGGCCAATGGCTGGGGAGCTGTGAGCAGCAGGCATCTGGGAATGTGTGCTCTAGACAACTGAGCTACATCTAAAACTCTCCCTACATACCAACAGACAGAGGACTGGAAGCACTGGTACCATGCTGTGTCATCATTACCATCTGCTGATAATGTGTGTGCTGGGGCACTCAGTGCCTTGTTCAAGGGGACCCAGCACCACACTGGTAACACTTGCAGTCTGAGTGCCGTTGCAGGCTGAGGCAGTAGAATTACTACGTTGTTTGGTATGGAACTTGTTTTCTTGCTCCTAGATGCTTCACGGTGTGCCCAAATCACACATACACACAAAGGTGATGCTAACTCAGTTGTCATTGCCCAGGGTAGGGCCAGTGGATGCAGCTGAGGCAAGAGGGAGTTCTGGCATTTCTGCATGCAGGCATGGCTGTTGGGTTGGCTACCTCCAGAAGGAGGATATGAAAATGTTTCCTACGAATGGTTTTATCCAGGTAAGTACTTTTTAGGTGACATGGACTTACTACTGGTTGTCTTCCCAATGGGATTTCAGTGACCTAACAAGGCTTTTATAGTAACTTCTGTAATGGAATGTATCCAGATTTGTTCCTGGGACTGCTCCTTTCAATGTGAGAATGGTGCAAAGCAGTAGGATTTGCTTAAAAGTTTCAGAATCATTCCAACACTAATTCACAGTGCCAGTGGTAGAAATAATCACAGACCCCAGTTTGAGTGTTTGACCTGCGTTTTGATTTTTGCCTCTCACAGGGAAGAGTTCTTTGCTGCTCAGCCTGCAGGTGTACATGTAGAAGGTATCCTATAGGAGAAATGTAGCCTGCATGTCCCTTACCTTGATGGTGTGATGATGTGTCTCATGCACCAGGATGAGTTGTTTGCCCCCAGATAACCATGTCTTGGAGTGTTTTCAAAAGCCACGCCAACTCTGTATTCTGTATCTTCCTCAGCTTCCACTTCCCAGTAATGCTTTCCTGGAAAAGGGATCAGACTGCCCAGGATCCCGATACACCTGTGAGAGAGACAGGAATATGCTCTGGCAGGAACTCTTCGCAGTGCTAGCTATGTAGTGTACCTGGGTGTTGCATATCAATAATGGAAGCCATGTTAATTGTTTCCGTAGCAGCACAGCATGAGTTTTTCAGTAAAGTGAAGTTCGCATGCTGAGGACCTGACACACGACCTGCAGGTTTCTTTGTGATTCCTACTCTATTTTACTTTTGGGTAGTTTTGTATGAATTAACACCCTGGGCACTTTCAAGAATAGGAGGAATAGAATCCTGTGCTGCCTGAGATTTCTGGGGAAAAGAGTGCTTTGGTGAACCCCAGTGTAGAAGGAGAAAAAAGTCTATGTGCTTTTTTTCTTCCCACAGAATCCAGGACTTAAGTGTCACCTATGTCACCTACCATCAGAAATGAAACACTGTAGCAATTCAGTACTAGACCAGGCTCCCCAGGGCCCCATCCAATCTGGCCTTGAACACCTCCAGGGACGGGGCATCCACAACCTCTCTGGGCAGCTGTTCCAGCAGCTCACCACTCTCTCTGTAAAGAATTTCTCCCTGACATCCAAGCTAAATCTCCTCTCCCTCAACTTAAAACCATTTCCTCTTGTCCTGCAGTTATCAACCCTTTCAAAGAGTTGATTCCCCTCTTCTTTGTAGGCTTCCTTTAGGTATTGAAAGGCTGCAATGAGGTCACCCCTCAGCCTTCTTTTCTCCAGGCTGAACAAGCCCAGCTCCCTCAGCCTGTCTTCATAGGGGAGGTGCTCCAGTCCCCTGATCATCTTTGTAAACACCCTATCTCAATGTAAGAGGGCAACTTGAATCCTATAAGACTACATCCCAATTCTGCTTTAGGAAAATTACACAGGGTATTTGTATTAACCGTCATTGCTGCATCACAGGGCATAGCAGGTTTCAAAACACTGCTAAAGTTTTGGATGCAGAGTCACAGCCTGTACATTTTTGTGGTAGGATCATGTAGGGATGTAAATTAAAAAGACAAAGGTTGTTGCTGGAACACTCTGAGCTCATCTGCCTGCAAGTGGTACTGAATTCAGCATGATGAGGATGGGAACAGCAAGTGCAGACTGTACTTTGTGCCACCTCAGCAGCAATCACGTAACTAAGTGTACAGTTCACTAGAAGTGCATGTAGATGTAGTGGGAATAGATTAAAAGTTGATGAAATTGAAACTCAGAGAAGCTATGCTGCTACAGCTTGAAAGGAACGATGCAAAATGGATGACAAACATATGTGAACAAGATATTACCATACTAATGAGAG